GCAAAAAAATGCAAAAAAGGCGGGCAGATTCATGAGGACAGGAAGAGAAAAGCTACAGAACCAGAGCTTATTAACAGCACCACTGCAAGACAATGGGACCAGTCTGCAAGGGAATTGATTAATGAAACCTGAGGGACACACTGTTACACAAAAACAGGTTAACAGGGCACTGGCCTTGAGGTCCTAGAACTGCAGCTTAACTCAGCTGTTCATGGCAGTGTTCCTGTCATCGTCTATCACACAGCACCGTACATTGTATTTCTTAACAGGGATCTGAGGAAGCAGTTCAAGAAACCCTGTGGCACCAAGATAAGAATCTTACTACCTTCTCATACAAACCCAGAAGATACTCTTGAGGCCAGGAAAAAGGCTGGATAATGTTATTACAGAAGAGGAAAGGTTATTTAAGTGATGCATCTGGAGAGATCCAAAACATTGTCTGTGTCACCTGTGTGACTGGTTCTGTTCCAGTAAATGGGTTTCTAATGGAGGCAGTGGCACAGGACACCTGACTTATAGCAGGGGAGCTGTGCTAAGCATCCACTCTACTTACATCTTCCAGCTCTGACTACAAAATTCCTTTCAACCAAAAATTTAGCAGGAGGATTATCAATGTCATATCAGAGAATATCAAACATTAAAAAAGGAAAAGTGGCATTTGCCATGCAATGCCTTTACTTGCATAAATTATTTAAAAATAATTGTTACATTGAAAGAACCACCTCCTTTTTTCTTCTTATTTGAAGTAGCAATGAAAAAAGTTTAAAGCCTGCCAAACACTCATACTTGTGAGCTACTTTAATCCTGTGAGTAGTTCCACTGGAGAAACAGAACTACTAATGACAGTAAGTACCTGTCACTCTTCCAGCACTAAGTGACAGACAGAATCTACTTAAGGAAGTGATACCTGTACAGGAATCAGTTGACATCTCCTGCTCTTAAAAGACTTTTAAAGTGAAAGCAAAGAGCTACTCAAGACACAAAGTAACCACACAGCACAAAGGAGAACTGTTTTCCTTGCTTCTGATTATTTTTGCAGCAATAATAAGAAGAGGCATCACTAAGAAGAGGTACAAAATTGTTGAGGCAGAAACCTGTTTGAAGGATGCCCCTTTTAAGATAGAAAAAAGCCCTGAACAGTTAGACATATGGTGCATGCATTTTTGCAGTCTTCAAGTGACCAGGTAAAACTGCAAGAACTGATCTTGAAGTTTCAATTCCTCTTCCATAAAGTCATGCAGACATTTCATCAGCTGCTTCTTACTTGATAGTACAGTTTGCATGGTCTTAGCACAGACATAAGCTTGAGGCTTTGGCCCTGCAGTTAGATGTGTGTAGAGATGAAGTCAGAAGAACTGAACTGCCTTTGAACAGAAACCAAAGGCTGAAGGCATAACACAGCTTGGGTTGATTTAAGGGCTTCAAATTTATTATGAAAAATCAGTGTTTGCTTTCAAAATACCTATAAATGTTCTTTATTGAGGTTTTCTCAAAGACAGAAAAAAAGTCATGCTTTCCTGCAACAGATTTTTTTAAATTGTTGTGTTTGAACACAACTGCCAGCTGTAGCCCAATCAGTGGGTGCCAGAGTGGACATCCCACTACACAATCCAACTGGAGGTTGTAAAAATGCTGCTCTGTCAATGGGGGAGGCAAAGGTTTGGCCCTGGGTAATTCAGACCATCCATTTTTTTCTGCCCTAACTTCCTCCTATGTTCTGGTTCACAAGGGTCCTTTATTATTCTGTAGAGTGGACAATTTACGAGAGAAAAATCTGCCTTGCTCAAAGCTGCGTTCCAGATGTGAAGAACCAGCTCCCCACATCAGCCTACACTGTTCAAAGAACAAAAGCAAGACTTCTGTTTCTCAATGGGAAATAATCTTAAGTGAAAAAAAATCACATCTTCCTTGGTGTGGTTAGTGCCATAAAAATAAATTAAGACAATAGGGTTCTCAGAATCAGGAAATCTTCACATTCCTTTCAGAGATTCTGATTTTAATTCAAAATGTGGCTTCATAGAGGAAAATTATACTTGCAGTTTTCTTTGAAAACATTCTCAGCTCTGTTATAATAACTGTAGTAATGTGAATTGAATGCAGAAAAATACATTTTTATAATTGATTATTCACCAGGTGCTAAAACACCAAATGGTCTACATGACATATGCACATGCTGGAGTGACTTAATTTGTTACAATGTGTAACTTCTCAAGAAGAACAGCTTTAGATGATCTGCACTGCTGAATCCCAAAAATGCAATCTGCTTTGTCATTATTTAAGGAGTACATCCTAGAATACACATGTGAGTTATTTGTAAATATGACTGACTCACTTGCTTTATTTTTAGCACAACACTTGGGCTGTGTCTTGTGGCAAGCTTTTGCAGTGGTGATGTACTATACTGAAGTCATTAAAATGGCTTCTGAAAGTTTTTTCATGAACCCAAGCCAAAGTCAATATCTCACCAGTTAAATAATGCATTTCATAATTACAACAAATATTTAATTCTCAAACAAATATATTTTTGCTTCCTCAGAATCAACAGCAGAAGTTAACATGATGGTTCACAATTAGTAAGGACCCAGGAGAAAACCTCACACAATCAGTACTTTTCATCTACATATTTATGAAACATTATCAACTATTCATGTAATATTTACTACTGGGAGTGGTGAATACGACAGTCACCCCCACTGGAGAGAAAGTCAGTTTTCTTTAAAATGTTGCAAGCAACATAATTCAGTTTTAAAATTGTTATACAGAGATCAAAGGACATTTTTAGGACCTGAATGTTCTCCATAAACATTATTTTCATTTAACTGAACCAAAATTTTCCTAACTGATCAGTCCTCATAGTCTTCTCTGGAAACCTAGACTTACAGCCACAATGTGAATCACCCTGCAATTCCCAAGAGAGAGCAAATCCTACAGAAACCTCTCTGTGATGCAGCAGTTACCTAGCAGCAAAACCTAGCAACCCTGTAGTATGAGATTAATCCCAGAGCGATCATCATAAAGTAATATCTAAAGAATATTTTATTTAAGTATGCCATCCAAAGGTATATAAAAATGCAATGCAAAAATCCTCAGGCTTTTAGCTGTTCAGCTACACAAATTAGAAAAGACTACCCAGCAACAAGCTATTTATTTGTTTTCAGCAAGGTCTCATTTGCTCAGCTCTCCCAACAAAGACAGATAAACCTCCCCCTCCAGGTTTCCAGAAGAATGCACAAGCCTCTTAAATGTGACTAAGATATTCAAAACCTTTCCTTAGCTACAATTCAATGTTCCAGCTATTAAATCCCTCAGGCCCTACTGCTGAACCCTAAGTGCAAAGTTCTTCCAGGTATAGGCTCTGCTCAGCTGCTTGGAACCAAAGTCCTATCAGGGCATTCAGACTAAAAACTGCCTCTCCTTTCTCTTCTACAACACAGTAAGCATTTTCCTGTCACCTTAGTGTGACCAGGACACGCACAAAGACAGCCAGACACAAGCTCTCCTTGTTCTGAGCTGTCCATTTGCATTTACCCTGCCCTCACCTGAGAGGAAGGGGATTGGTACCATGGACTGGAACCAGCTGGTACTCAAGGACTGGTACCGTGGTGCCAGGAGGATAAAGAGAGAATGTGAGTCAGAATGTAGCATTTTCCCAGGGGAATGGGATGTCCTTGCCCCAAACCAAGGAAGAGGCAAAGCTGGAACTAGGTTTCTTACCTCCTTAGTAAAAGCCTACCACAGCCCACAACATCTCTTCTTGGCTGTCTGGGGTGGTTCCCACCCAGGGAACCCACACCCTCCACTGTATGGCTGAAGCCCACCAGGTGAATGGCACTTAGAACATTTGTCGCAGCAACACTCTGCAAAGTTCCTTTCCAAATATAGTCTCATCCCTCCTTGAGCCTTCACTGTGTTTGTTTAGCATGCTCTGATTCCACTGAGAGCTGCATATAGACTTCTGAAGGTCAGCTTGGGCCTGGGCAGCTTTTAGAGCACTGCTGAGGCACAACAGTACCAAAATCTCTGCGTGTGCCCTGAAACTCCTTTCATGCAGACAGAGTTTAGAACTGTGCAGTAGAAAGAGAATCCACACCTTTACTGAAACTCTGTATTTTCCCCTCATACTAAATGTTTGGCTTTCCAAAGGTATTTGTACTTGTGCATTGCAGTGTGGATGCCTACTGCTTAATAATGCTTTGGCATCCTTGGATAAGATGCCAAATTCGAAGCACCAAAACTGCAGTCTTATTGTTAAAAGGATAGGGAAGCACGAGCTGAAGTGCCAACTTTCCTGCTTTGCTTTAATTACACAGAAGAAAAATTATCCTCTGATGGGAAGGGAGAAAGGATATTCAAGCCTTGCATCAGTTAAGCCCTCAGGTTTCCTATGGGACTAATGAAGGGAGTAGTAGGGTGTGGAGACAATCTGAGTCAGATTCTTTCCGAGCTGCTATGTGACAGTAACAGGCACCACCAAACCATAAGATTAAATGGGACCAAGAAAACTGATAGGAAGGAGCTCTGGTGTATATCCCTGGGTTGCCAAGTCATATATTTAACTATAAAAAATACATAATGCACTATGACAGTGCTTTTAAGAGAATGGTTTGGCCACAGTGATAAAAAAGAAGCCAAAAAGAAAAGAAATGTTCTGGTGGCTCTTGTCCTTCCACAAAAAGAGGAGCTTTATCCATGCCATGAGCACTCCCCTGTGCAGCCCACACATACCCTGGCAAGGCACATTCTGGAGCCCACACACTGACAGAAAAGCCTTTGGAATGCATCTGCCAGTGAGGGATTACAACCAATAAAGCTGCAAGATTTGATTTTGTTTCTAATTGTTCAATATTGAACTATTATAGCATTGAATTAATTTTTCTCATGTCCAGCTATATCCACAACAGCACTCTGTTATAGCCAGCTCTGATTACAATCAGCAATTGATTTTAAGCACTTCTGCAAACACAACTGAGACATTAACATCTTCACATAGCACTGCTTACCTTAAATCTTTCTGAAACCCCTTCAGTGATGCTGATTGTGAATTCAGCTATTTTAGGAGTACGAAACTTTCCCTTCTTGCGATCAGGTTCATATTCTGTTTTTGTTTTGACCACAACCTTTAAGAAAAAGAATCAATCACAAAACCGTCAACTAAAGCTGGCACAAAAACCTTAATTATTCTTTAACTCTTCTTTTACCTGCCTACAGGCACATCGAGCACCATACCTTTCCCCTCCCCACTTTGTGTAATTCTTCTTTGAAAGTGCTAAATTATTAATTATTTTTTCCAGTATATCAGTCATCAACTAACTTACCTCTCAAAGTGGTTTTGATGGACCTACAGCAAGACTTGTTATGCAACAGTTTCTCAAAGGTTCCATTTTTTCATCTGTGGTGATACTGTGCTCTTATACTAGGCAAGGATAGGTCAAATCCAAATCATGGACCTTCCCACTTTGTATAGTTTGAAAATAGCCACCTCCATTTGCTTCAGGGAATTCCATTAATGGGATTTCAAACTGGACACCAACAGGGGATTACTGAGGAGTACCCATAAAAATCCTGCAGATGACAGGCAGGATTTTGAGTTGGAAAAAGAAAAGTGAAAGAACCCATGTAGTCTAGTTGCTATTCACCATGTGATAGACTATGGCCCTTGGCACTCTTATTTTTAACATCTAATTTCTGAAGTATCAGCTGCAAGCAGCAAGATGCACACGAACCCTTGTGTTAATGAGATTTCTGCAAACACCCAAGGCTCTTCAGTTTATTCCTTGCTCTGAACTACTGCCCCAAGCCACACAATTTAGCACCTTAGCCATATTCCCAAAATACTCATTACGTCAGTCGTATCTCTAGTGTTCTCCCAGGCATTCTAATCATACAAAATTTTCACATACCTAACCTATTTGCCTCATTTTTGTCTTCTGCATTTTTCAGGAACTTTTCCCAAGTATTATTCTCAAGCTAATGTACAGTTTATTCAGTTTATTGTAGTGATGGTGCTATTACAATTTGCTCAGTTTCCTCTGTTTTTCCAAGGAGTAAGTATCTACTCTTTTAGATTTCTGAAAATCAAATTCTATCTTTAGCACAGCCGATGCTATTAATAGCAAATACATTAATCACAGAAAGGCCTGGGCTGGAAGGGACCTTGCAGATTATCTTGTTCCAACCCCATGCCCCAAGGTAGGGACCCCTTCCGCTAGACCAGGATGCTCAGAGCTCCACCCAACCTGGCCCTGAACACCTCCAGGGATGGGGCATCCTCAGCTTCCCTGGGCCCTGTGCCAGGGCTCAGCACCCTCACACTAAACCTACTCTCTGTTTAAAGCCATTCCCCCTGGTCCTGTCACCACATCCTCCTGTAAACAGCCTCTCTCCATCTTTCTGAAATTAAGATGGTGACACTTCAGGTAGCCAGACACTGGAATGACAAGCTTTGGGCCCCCTGAGTGATGCCTGGAATTGTCACTGCACCCAGACTCAGTACTGAATGTTCATTAGACACTTTCACAGTATTACACATACTTGTTCAGGACATAGGTTTAAAACCTACTTACCTATTTTCAGCTACAATTAGTAAGATAGTAATATACTATTTAACTTTATAGCTGCCCAGCAGCATCATGGAAGTTAACCACCTGATGATTCCTGGAATGCTTTTTAACATCTTAGTTCCCTTCCTCCCCCCTTTATGTTACATAATCTCAGGCAACTCAAGTCACATTCAGCTGACACTGAATGTACAGTTCTAACTGCTTGGTTATGTAATGTCTTCTTTTGTTTAACATATCTAAATATGAATTTAAATCACTTCATCCCTTTAATTTAGAAACTGTCAAAATCATCAAATCCTCAGTGCTGTAGTCACTACTGTTCAAGAAGTTGTGCTTCACTGCCATGCTGGAGCCTTGCAAGGGGATAATAAGCATAGACATGTGAAGTATGTACTTCTATTCATTATACATGAGTGTCTGCATACTTCAGAATTTGATCTGTGTGTCAATCTTTTCTTAATACAGTTTCTTATTTTCCTGTCAGTTGCTCTGCTCCTGCCTTTGAGTCTCTAACAACCAGTAAAGAGACACTGACATGACTAACCAGTTACAGAAGGACAAGAGCAGGACCAATAAATTTAATTTTCCCCCTCTATGTTTGCAAAAGGAAAAGAAAGCCAATATACAATTGGACAGCGGCGAGTAGAAGAACCAATCAAATATTCCTTTATTTAAGTCTCTAGCTTAGCTGGACATTTGCTTTCATTCAAGGCAAATGCCATCCAGGTGGCAGGAGTTGTGCCCCATTCCAGCAGGAGCAAAGGGCTGGCACAGAGCCCCTGGGCTCAGACAGAGGCTCTGCTCAGGTTAAAGCTATTACCATGCAGATCCCTCCTTCAGACCTCTGCTTAGCAGGGCAGGAACAGAACAAATTCCTTTGGTGGCTGGTCCTTGGTAATGGGTTATCTGCAGTCACCAGTTGGCAGACGTGTCAGACACGGTCAGGCTCAGCTTGTTCTAAAGCCTCGGGGTGCGATTTTGTCCTCAGTTACAAGATTTACACCCATGTAACAGAGGGCATAAAATGGACCCTCAGGCTCCTGAACAGCTGTTATGGCTTATTGCATTTATGCCTGCCAACTGGTCACCACACACAACACAGAATGGTCTTGATAGCAATTAAAATGGAGGTCACACATTTATTTGTATTGCCTACAAGCAACACTCTACCGGGGAAAATTTCACAAGCTAAAACTCTTTATCCTAAGTTAAGATTATGTGAATTTTTTTGAGGTTTGAGGAATATGTAGCTACCAGTTTATCTAGAAGATGAATTCAGCTTGTGGAAGACACAAGGTCAAAAATAAAAACTGTATGAAGACCACAAAGCTTTTTATTAGCAGACGCATGTGGGAAATTACAAGCAAGACTCCTATTAAAACAGGATACTGAAAACCCTGAAAAAATCCTACTCCTATGTGCCTCACGGGTAGTAGCACTTACTGAATTCTTTATTGTGAGGACAATAAACATATTTACAGGCTATCACATCACCTTTCTAAATATTTAAAATTAAATCCCTAATAATCAAGGCATTTAATGAGGAATGCAGGAAGCACATTTCCCTTCCAACCTGCAAGCAGCTCACTGGACTGCCCCCTTCCAGCTACAGAGGATATCTGAATCACCTATTCGGAGGGTTTTGAACAAAATAAATTGCCAAGGAGAAAACTCAATGGCCCGTTCTCATCTCATTATTTCAGCTTGTCTGGGGTTAGCATTAGTTTCTTACTGAAGCACAGAAGGAAAATGGAAGTGCTCTGTGTTGCTGGTATGCCCAAGCCCACCTCACAGAGAAAGAAGGCAGGGCTCTATTCCCCCATCAGGGGGGCATCTTCTGGACAGAGAAAATTTGTATTATTCACAGACAATACACAGGACCTTCTAGATGCAAGAAAGAAAAATACAGAATAGGAAGGGCTATGACAATACAGCACAGAGAAGCTTGCATTTGTATAGTACATGTTTCATATAGCAGCACTGAAATCTCTACATGCTTACAGCTACCATTTCACACTGATTTTTAGTGCAAATCACCATCAGTGGATTTTCATGAGCTTTTTTCCTTAGAGGCAACTAGCATGCATTGAAACACCCCATATTTCTTGTCATTTCTAAGCTGCTCTCTACCCATAACCTATTCTTTTGTTGTTTGCCAGAGATCTGGGTGTGATTCTCCAGGGTGGAAACTAAAGCCTACTGTACCTTATCAGGAGGTGGGAACTGGAGCTGATTGACATCCAGGGGTGTGATCAGGGGGATGGTGTCAAATCCATCCTCCAAAAGGGGCTGCTTTGTGCTCTTCTCGCTGAAATTATTCCCCAGTTTCACCATTCTTCCAGGATAGAGGGATTTTTCTGCTGGCACACACAGGCACACACGCAAAGAAATGCAAAATATCAGAAACCAGACCTTTTCCCAGCCCTCGGGGACCCGAAATACCTTCTGGAAAAAAAAAAAAATTAAATTAAAAAAATAAAAATACGTGTTGGTCGCTATGACTCGGTTAGCTACTGGCGTTCTGGGAAGTACGAACGACGACCAGAGCTTCTGTCGAAATTAACACACCCCCAACCCACCAGGCGCACAAAGCAGCACCCCAAACCCCCGGCACGCCAGCCCGCTGCGAGCGATGCCGGCGGCGCGGCCGGTGCGGCATCGCCCGCGGGATGCGGGATGCGGGATGCTGGATGCGGGATGCGAGATGCGGGGGCTCGCAGCCCCATCCCGCCGCTGCCCTCGCCCCCTCCCCGCCCGGGCTGCCCCCGCGGGGCCGGGCCGGGGCCTTCCCCGCTCCGCTCGCTCCTGCGGTCAGCGCGGTGCCAGCCCTGCAGAGCCGGGGATGCGAGCGCGGGGCCGGCGCTCCAGGGTTAAGGCTCACTGCGGAGCCTGGCAGCCGGCAGACTGAGGACGCCTTAGAGCTCGGCTGGCTCGGGGCGGAAAAAACCCAGAGGCATTGGTATTCACTGCGCTGTCTCCTGTAACGCGGGCAGCCAGCGTGCTGCTCGTGCAGGTGCATTGCTTCCCTGCCGGTGCAGGAAAAGCGCCGTGGGCGATGCAACAGGTGCCTGCCATGGTGGGCACTCGGAGAGAGGAGAGGCAGACAGGTGCTCAGCCTGGAGCCTGTTCCATGCTTCAGAGCCACCCAGCCTCTTCTTGCAGGTGCCAGCATGAGCAGCCTCTCTGCTGCTCAGTCCAACACGCATCCCGTTTTCCCGAGATCAGTGGTCTGTAATGCTTAAGGCCCTTTCTGGCTGTGGCACAGAGCAAGTCCTGTCTCCGGCTATGGATCATCCTGTCTATCTCATTTATTTCTCCCATCAGTGTTCTGTCCTGAGTAAATAAAGTGTAAAATAAGCTTGTCTTACCTGAGTAACATTTCATAAATCATACTTGCATGTGTTAAGTAGAAGGGGTTTCATTTTATATAGAAAATTGCACCTGTGAGTGGAAATGAAGGGGGTTCTCAGAAAACAAGAAACACTTGAATTATTCCATTTTGGAAAAGCCTTTGTCTTATAAGTGTTCTTGAACAGAACAGATTAATAACCTGCAGAAGGATGAGTGTAATCCATTCTTTTGTATGTGAAGCCAAAGTAATTCAGAATCCAAATGACATCAAAAGTCCAAGTGATAATCAGAAGTGTATTTGACAGTATACTACAGGGAGCCCAAATAACACAGCAAATGGTTTAACAAATTGACTGACTAGGTTCTTTCATCTCTAGCTTTTGTGATTTTATATTTGAGCCCTATTGGCTGAAGATTGTCAAAAGCTTGGGGCAATTGTGTATTAAGTGTGTGCCTGAGGAAGTACCAGTATTGGATTAAGATGAATGGATTTCAATTCCCCAGCTGGCTGGTGAGGTATTTTTTTTAGTTATGTGAGCATGTGCACAGGTTACACAGTTTTAGTGTCTGTTGTAGAGAAAAGGAGAAATTTGGATAGCCTGTTTACAGAGTGAGTTATTGTCTTTGCCACTGTGCATTTCTTTAATGGTATCTGCTTTTGGTCTTAGCTGGTTTTCTAGTCTTTCAGAAAAAATCTTTTTGTTATGCACCTGAACACTACACTTGTCACTCAGTACTTACACTCAGTAAGTACACTCAGGCTTTCCTCATTTTCATTTTAAGTGCATGTCACCCCATGTACTGTGTCATAAGAAAAGCTCAATGTTTTTGTGTGCATGTACATGCACACACAAATGTCTGTGACTAGTAAGTGTCTTTATTTTCCAGCTATGTAAAATGAGCCATTAAGAGGCTCATTTTACATAAGAGGATTTCTGATATCAAACAGCCAACTCCAGCTTGCTACTGATGGTTTTAGAAGAAAAAAATGAAGTAACTGAGTTACAAAAGTCAGAAGTTGGTGCCTTAACAAGGCAAAAAGGTGTATGTTAGCCTAGACACTATTTGAAAATAAATTGACTCGTGGAAACTAGCACACCTCTTTTCTCCAGGGCTCCAGCTGTAGGTCATTTTGCTGTGGTTATTCAGGGGGTTTTAAATTTGGGGAAGAAACTGCCCTCTATCTTCTACAAAGTAACTCGGGTTCTAGGTGCTTAATAAATAACCCACATCCTTGCTGAGCCACTGAAGTGTCATGGCCAGCAATCCTTATCTCCTGTTACTTATCTCTGAGGAAACATGGGAGCTCCTTGTGGGTATGTGGGCAGCAGGAAAAGCAGCCAACACACAGAATTGATGACCTAGTGGCTCCTCTCATTAGGTCAGATTGTACCCTGGTTTACTCACTCTGAAACCCTGATGGTCTCAGTGAGGTTAAAATTCACCATGTGTACCATCAGCCTGACTGTGAAAGTAGAAAATTTGCACTTCACCATCAAGCAGGTGTAGTACCTCCCAGTGAAGTAACTATCAGAGGAAATAGAAAAATGGAAGTAATGTGGAGCTTGTGTTTGCTGGCACTTGGTCTAGGAAAAGACACAGAAGTCTTTTTCAAATGAGAATAGGCCCATGTCTCACAAAAGCTGGAGAAAGAGCAATTGCATGGGACAGCCTACATTTTCACCACTTACCAAGCCCTCATTTTGTAGCACAAACATGAAGAATAAAGTCACACGACTGCATATGGAAATTAAGGAAATGTTGTGAACTGCTACATTCCATAGGGCTGGACTCCTAATTCATCATGGGCAAAACATCTAGAAATTACAGGAGTTTTTTCCTGCAGAAGAGTTTTTCTAAAAATGAGGCCAAAATTGTGACAATTAATCTATTATTTGTGATTTGATGATGCTTTATTCAGGTTGGCCACATGTCTTTCTCTTTGTGGGTTGTAGTTTACTGACACAATCAACTGAAATGGCTCTTTTGGAGCCATTACAATTTGTTGTGTGAGTGCAGCTGAAAACACTTCAACGTGCCATGTGTCACGCTTTGTCAAGTTAACAGTTGATGTTTCCAAATCAGGATTAGGAACAGTGCTGATGCAGTGAAATGCTGCAATTGCTTGTGCAACATAAGCATTCATGAAAGGGAACAGACTCTGCTGAAGGAGAGCAGCACTACCTATTTCTGTTTGTCAGGTGTCCCAGCAGCTTTTTTCCCCCTTAAAGCATCCAGTCCCTTTGGTATCTGAGGCTACTTACAAATACCAAAGAAGAAGAGCATTCCCACCAATCCATTTTAGGAAGGCAATAAACTTCAGAAATTCTATTAAACTCTTGGGCATCAATAGGGAAACTTGGATTAAGTGATGTACCAAAGGAGGTGCAGGAAATGCATGGTGAGCCAGCCAGGTAGAGCTGCATGGCCAGGAGCACATGATGCAGCCAGGAGGCTCAGTTTATACAGCCCCTTTAGTCCCTCCCTCTGCCCAGCAAATCCACACTGGGAGAGCAGGAAACCTAAAACCTAACTTTTTCTTTAGGATTTTATGCTTGGATTTCTATGTGTGAGAGGCTTATGTGTGAACAACTCTAGAATTGTGGCATTCATGCTGGAATGGGTAATGGATAAATGAATAGTGAACCTGTGCATGAATAGAAGTGATACCTTTGTGACAGAAAATAGCAATATGAAAAATAGTAGTTTTCACTTACTGTCAGATTTGTAGAACTGTCAAATGAAAATGAAGGTATTGTTACTGAAGAATGCACATCTGTTATTTCCAAAATTACTGGAAAGGATGGGTTTGAGTTCTTTGGGGAAAACTGAGAAATGGTCACTGGAAACCCGTGAAATTCTTTAAAACACAGAACCATTTTCAAGTCTGCCATCCTTAGGCTAATCATACTAAATTCATACATAGTTACTAAATAAGATTTTTCAGAAAGAATGTAGCCCACATTGGAATAATGCTGAGACAGGACAAGTTCTAAGCACTCAGATTCTCAAGAGCAGCATTTCTCAAATGGTGCCAAAACCATCAGTGATACACCCACATAAAATACAGGGCAGTAAAAGCCTGAAGGATTGCTCTGAGAATCAGTGCTCTGAGCTTGCAGGTGCAGCAGAAGGGATAAATTGTGCTGCAAGGCAGATTATGTCCTGTGCCTCCTCACACCATCTGTAGGCCTGCAGGTTCACCCCTCGGTGAGGAGAAGGTGCCAAAATACAGCAGGGAGATGACAGCTCTGGGTCTGGGCAGAAACAGAGGGGAGAATCAGCACAGGCAGATGCTTTGTCCTCCAGGCCTCCTGATATTCCCAAATATCAGACCCACCACCTGGATAAGCTGGGGCAGAGAAGTGACAGTCCTGTGATGAGGAGGCAAAGCTCTGTCTGGCAGAGGGATCTGGGGAGACAACAGTGATGGGATATACTTAAACACAAGGAAGCACAGCTTTAGGGGTAAAGTGAGGTTGATCTTTTACTGATCTCTTCCCAGGTTAATCCTGCTTATGATTTAAACAGTCATTTAAATGGCTGAAGTTACCTGATTTAGAGAAGCAAAATAACATTTTGGCTATTATACAAATGGATTTCAAACAGCATCTAAGTAACACAAGGTCATGTAGTTCAAAACAATCCTCTATTAATTTAGAGTATTACATTAATTTAAAGGATAAGATCAATTCCAACAGAAGCTGGACTTAACCACTAAACCATTTATTTTTAAAAAAGTGCATAAACAAACCTTTCACCAGGAATGCTAGAATGTGATCCTAAACTTCTCTTTGGCCTTGAACCACTTCAAATTAATTGGTTTGCAGCCAAAGGAGGTGCATAATATAACATCACATTTATATTTAGGAAACCTCATTAGAAATGAAAAAGTTATGTAACTCCTCAGAGAAAGCAAAAGAAATATAGGACAAATTATACTCAAACACTGCAGTTAAATTATTTTAGCAGCAGGGTAGCTTTAAAAAAAAAAAACCTGTTAGGACAAAATCCTACATAGCATGAGGAAAAAAGCTCTTATATCTTACTGTAATTAGAAACTCATCAGGTTAATGGGACAATTTTTCAAACGCTGCCATTTAAGTTTTTGCACATGGCATTGATCTTGCTTTATTTTAGCTTGCAAATAGAACTTGGGCAGAAGGAGAAAAAAAAGCAATCAGACATTTTCTAACGCACATGTAAATTCAAAGCTCTGTATCTTTTGTGTCTGTGCTCTTTCATTCAATTTGTACTTGTGATGGAGTTCTAGGATCTCACTTTCACTT